CAGTTTTGAATCCAAGCATGTTGAGTCTGACAATTGTAGGCATTCAGAGTGTTGAACTGAAAAACATGTGCTAGAAATAACTCAGATACATTTAAAGAATTGAAGTTCTGTGTGGCTGGGAACTGAAGTCCCTATTTCAATCCACATGCTTTAGACACAGATCTTTAACTGTGGTATTTGTCATTGTTACGTGCCATAGTCACCTGTGTCTCATAGTGACCCTATGTACAGCAGCTCTGAAGCCTGCCCCGTCCTGAACCAGTCTCACTGACTTCGACACACCTACCCCATGGCCCCAGTTACTGTGTCAATCCATCTCATCCTGGGTCTTCCTCTCCTCCACCCTTCCAAGCATGATGTCCTTCTCCAAGGACTTGTCCCTCCAGGCCACGTGCCCAAAGTGTGTGAGATGGAGCTGCCAAATCCTTGCCTCCAAAGAGAAACTTGGCTTCACCCTCTGAATTTGGTTAGTGAATTTCAGGGTGTGACTGGGATGTAAAATGCCTAAATCCAGTATTTAGCCCTATTTGACTCTGAACTGGGCTCTGAGTGTTCTCGTTTTCAGCCAGAATGACAACTGTCACTTTGTATTTTCTAGAAAACATTCAGCACATTGCCATGTATGTACGAGAGAAGGCGGAAGTGGGTGGAAAGAAGTCCAAGATTGTTCTTAGATTTTTGCAATGCATTTCAGACACAGACCAGACATTCTTCACTTGCTGTGAGGGTCTAACTCCAGAAAGACTGCTTCTCAAGCCCCACCTTTTCCCCAGTTCTGTGCATTTGTTCTCTCCACAGAGGAACTGAAATCGTGTGTCGTATCCAGTGGCTTGTATGAGCAGAGCTAGCTCTTGGTGTCTCTAAAGCAGCTATTTATTATCTAATGCTACGTAACAGTTCATCCCAAGGCTGAGAAATGTCCAACAGTGAAGATTTGTTACACTACAAGTTCTGTGGGGCTGGAATCTGGGGACAGGGCTAACAAGTGACTCTTCCTAGAAGTCTCCCATCTTGGCCAAAGATTTGACTGGGAGAACTCACCGTCGTGGTCATTAGGGAAGTTCACTTCTTGGTTTACAAGGTCTTCTCCAAAGGGGAGCTGATAGCGCAGCAGCCATTCAGATTCTTACTTTTTTTTTTTTTAGATGAATTCACTTCTGTGAAGCAATTCCAACTCAAAGCAACCCTGTAAAACAAAGTAGACTTGTCCTTCCATTGGGCGCCCAAAGCTAGATTGTCTTTATGGAAGCAGAAAGCCTTGTCCTTCCAAGAAGTGGCTAATGGATTCAAACACTGACCTTTCATTTCTCTGCTCAGTGCTTAATATGCTGCAGCACCAGAACATCACGTTTTGTCTTCAAATGACATTGTTGTTAGGTGCCATTGAGTCCAGGATGTCTCAGCCAACTGGCGGACAGCAGATCTGAACCCTGACCTGTCCTGCACCATCGTCACCATCGCTGACACACTTGGACAGGCATGTTAGTCCATCTCATTGAGTCTTCTGCTCTCTCATTGACCCTCCACCGTTCCCCGTCTGATATCCCTTTCTGAGGAATAGCGTTTCTGAGCAACATGCCCAAAGTGTGTGAGATGATGCTTTGCTGTAGCACTCTGGCTGCACTTTTCCCAAGATGCATCTGTCTGTTCTTTTGGCAGTCCATGGGATATTCAGTACTCTTCTCCAACACCACAACTGAAAGGCATTAATTCTTCTATCATCCTTATTCATTGTCCAGTTCTCAGACACATAACAAAGTGACTGCAAAGACCTTTACTGGAATCAGGTACACCTTCGTCTTTAGACAGACATCATTGCTCCCCAGTACTTTGGAGAGTCCCCTGATAGTGAATTTGCCCAGGGCAGTATGTCTTCTGATCTCCTGATACTGGTCCCAAGACTGCAGGGACAGCTGTGGGATACCTCGGGTGTGGCCTCGGCAGGTGTAGGTAATTGTTCTGATTCCTTGCAGCCTGTGTCCTCTGGTACCCGGCATTGCCCTTTCTGATAATCACTGCTGAGCTGGGCCCATCGAGGATCTTCCTCTCTGACTTCCTATTTTTCTGAGCATAATGTCTTTCTCCAGGGTTCGGTCCCTCCTGAAAACATGCCCTGACTCTTTGAGATGCAGTTGCACCGTGGATCTTTCTGAATGTGCTTCTTCTAAGGCAGATTCCGATGTCTCTCTGCAGCTCCCGGTATATTTGGTGTTCTTCACTAAACACCAAAGCTGAGAGGCACCAGGTCTTTCCTTATTTGTCATCCAACTTTCATTTGCATGTGATGCTATTGAAAATGCCATCACATAGGTCATGGTAAACAACAGAAATTTTTTTAAAAAACACATTAAAAACTCAGTAGTTTTACAGTCTTTCAAAGCTTTGAGCAGACAACATTTTTCCCCCTTAAGAATATCTTGTTTAGTATTTTAACATATTCTGAATATTTTACTAAAAAAATACTAAAATTGTTCTATTATTTGAGTTTCTGCATGTACCTGTTCTTATTATGGCTTTTATTTTCTGGGATATATACATGGTAGTGGAATTACTATAGCATATGGTATCTTCTAACCTTTTTTAAAACATGAAAAATACACATTTAGAGGTTCAAAGGGCTTAGTAAAGGATATGATAGATTTCACATCTTAAAAACCTATCTTAGTCATAGCCAGTAAATTCTTTGTAAACTCCTGTTTTTATTGTGATTTTAGTGAAAGTTTGTAAAGAGATTAGTTTTCATTCATGCACATTTTTCTCCTCCCTGTCCCTCCAGTTCACTTTGCATTGATTGCCCAGCACAACAGTTCAAAAGGCGCAATTCTTCTGTCATCCTTATTCATGCTGCAACTTCAGATGCATAGGAAGCAATTGAAAATGCATGGCATGCATGGGTCAGGTGCACCTTAGTCTTTAAACTGACATCTTTGCTCTTAGGAAATGCAAACGTATAAAAGACAACTTTTCTGAAGTATGTTAAGCTGAGAAACATCTGACTGACAGCTGAGCTGATGGTACTTTTTCATCCTTTTCTCAGACTAGTGTGTCTTAGAGTTGGCACTCTGTGTTCCACCTTGATAATGAATGAGAAGATTCCCCCTTTTCTAGCTTCCCCTGCCTTCACCTTTTCCTTACAGTCATACACACTCCCAAGAATTTCATTTTCTGGCAGAGTGACATGTTCATAAACGTGGGCTCTGATTGTCCATAGACAGTTCCCCATTGATGGTGATAAATCACCATGCTGGCTGTAATGAATTGCCTAATAAATAACACCTTTGGAAATCTTACATGATACAATCTAACTGCTCTCTGGTATGGTTGTTAAGGACCTTTAACAGCCTGTGTTTAGGAATACCCATTTCACGAGGACATGGTACCACTGGAAGTGGCAGAAATAAAGAACTGGTTCCCTCCTTTCTGTCAGCTAAAACCAAGCCAGTTATCAAGTTCCGACTTCCAGCAACCTGATGCTGTAGATACTGTGCTCTGTAGAGTTTTTAATGGCTGATTTTTCTGAAAGCATGGAATTAGGATTATAGAGCATATTGGGAACAGACATCAGTTTCTTTTATCCCTTTTAAAAATCTACTTCTGATTAGATGTCTTATCCAGTAGCCCCAGGGCAGAGATGATGATGTATCGGTTTGCTGGCTGAACCCACAAGCTTTCCAACGTTGAAAGATGGGTCATCTCCTCCCACAGGGATTTAGAGCCTTGGACACCTGACATGGGGTCACTGTGAGTCGGGGTCAGCCTGACTGGCAATGTGTTTGGGTTTGTAGGTGCCTGATCCAGATCTCCAGTCACTTAAGTAGAATTTCTGTTAAATGAAATGATTTTGTAACTGAATTGTTTTTCTGTCTGTTCATTACTGTTCACACTTCTTAGCTGTCTGAGAACATTAGACCTTCTCATTTACATCCAGGTTAGAAAATTTTAAAACCTTTTACAGTGTCGGTGAGAATTTTTTTCAGCTTAGCTGTGGCACTCTTTGAGCACATCACAAGCAAGACGTAAAGAAGGTTTTTCTTGGCTGTAGCCAAGATGCAAATGAATAGAGGAAATAATGTTTAAAAAAAATAAAACGACAAGAGGGAGCTCTGGTGGCCTAGTGGCGAGAAGCTGTGCTGCAGTCTCATAGGCACACGGTTCAAATGTACCAGATGATCCGCTGGAGAAGGAAGGGCAGTCTACTGGATTCAATGGTACACAACAATTAAAGTGCATACATATAAACAAACAAACAAACCCTTGAGAGAACCTGAAGGGATTGGTGGGAGGTGGGCTAGAGCGAGAAGGTATGAGGTATCAGGCACCCTCTGACCCTGTTACTGTCAGAATGGGTCCTTGGGAATGTTCACATTTGCATGGAGGAGAAGGCCGGACAGTTAAATGCACTGTGTTGTTAATTTGTCCTTAACTCTGAGTGGTTGACTAACTAGTGACTTACATTTTAAGTACGTTTTAAAGAAAAATGGAATTTGAGAATCAGAACAAGGCTCAGTTGCCCGCAGGGGCCTTTAAGAATGTGCTTCTCCCACCTGCTTGGAACCTGAGGAGGCCATTAATGATCTTGCTTAGGTCCCGGACCTACATGACTTGGAGAGATTTACCTCCTGCCTGGGGAGCCAGCTCATCCTAGACATTATTTTCTTGAGCTCCTCTATACGTACAATAAAACGAAAAACTAAACCCACAGCCACTGCATCGGCTCCTGTCACAGCAACCCCACAGGATAGATTAGAACTAACCCCACAGGGGAGCACTTGCTGTATCTTTCTTCTGTGTAAGGGCTGGTAGTTTTGTCAAGCACTTTAACCGCTGTCCATCAGGGCCTCTTAAGGAGGGTGTTTATTGTAGAAAAATGGGCAGAAGAAAGAGGAACAGCTTCTGTTCTACACTCAAACATTGGACTTGGCGCCTAAGCTTTGGGAGAGACTAGATGTTACAGGTTTACATTGTTTCATCTCTTCTTTTGCTACTGTATAGGTTCTACCATAATGAATGGATCCAATGTGGCCAATACATCGCCCAGTATAAAATCCAAAGAGGACCCGGGGATCACCGGGCACGATGAGAAGGAAAACCCATTTGCAGAGTACATGTGGATGGAGAACGAGGAGGATTTCGACAGACAGGTAAAGGGAGGTCTGAGAGTGAACTGATACCTGTAAAAACCTCAGCAGCTGGGCTGCTTTACTGCCAGCCCATTAAGAAAGAAGTGGATGGATTGGCTTTAGACTAATTTAAGAATATGTAGAGGCCTGATCCAGGATTACCAAGAACCATCTTCAACTGGTAAGAGAGGACAGTGACGTTACTTTAAAGGAACATGGTGATATTGTTCTGTCACACTGATTGAAAGACACAGATAGTCCATTGATAGCTGGAATCCTCACATGATGAACTATAGGTAGCCTGATAGCTTGTACCCTGCATTCTGATGTGTCCTGTAATTGCCATTCATGGTACAGAATAATGGCTGCAGAGAGGCCTGGCTCCGACTTCAGCTCGGGGACGTTTGTATTGGGTTTCTCTAGGCAGCTGTAGCCATGTAGGAGATTTCCACAAAGACAGTACTCTATATGCTGCTTTATTAAGTAGTGACAAGGACCTTACAAGTTTAGAAACAGCCATCTAAGGTCTTTCCCTGTCTGGAACAAAGACAGGAAGAAAAGCAAAGATGCAAAGGCTACAAAAAAATAAAGCTCCACGGTCTGGGGACCGGAAGCACCCGATCGTGGCCGGCTGCCACTGCTGACCACTACAGATGGTTCTGGCCAGAGAGCGGAGAAATGGAAGACAAAATGCAGAAACCGAAAAGAAGCACAGGCTCTGTAGGCCAGTGACGGCCAGGGGAACCCTTGAGACTGGGACTGTGAGTCACTCTTTGACCTACCTCAACGTCCAGCCAAACAGTAAACTCAGAACTCATGGCTGGTGAGTCAGAACGGATTTGTAGGGGCAACTGTCCGTCTCTCTCCCTTTGAGCTGCTGATGGATTTGAACCTGCAAGAGAGGTTGCACCCTTTGGGTTAGCGGTGCTGCTCTTTGCAGACTAAGCCACCAGAGCTTCCTGGCCAAACAGGTCCCAGGTCTGTGTTGTTGTTTATGTGCCGTCAAGTCACTTGCAACTCACAGCAACCCTGTGCACAACAGCTCTGAACCCTGTTCTACTTTGAGCCAATTTCATTGTCTCTGACACACCTACCCTCATTACCCCAGTCACTGAGTCAGTCCGTCTCATCCAGATTCTTCCTCTCTTGCGCTCTCCCTTCACACTCCCAAGCACGATGTCCTTCTCCAAGGAATGGTCCCTCCTGGCAACATGCCCAGAGTATGTCACTTGAAGCTACAAAATCCTTGTTTCCAAGGAGCAGCCTTGTTTCACACTCTGCAGAACAGACCTGTTTGTTCTCTTTGCAGTCCATGGTATGTTCAAGACTTTTCTCCAGCACCACAGCTCAAAGACATCGATTCTTCTATCATCTCTTGTTGTTGTCCAGCTGTCTGACACATAGCAAATAATTGTGAACACCATGGCCTGCATCGGGCACACCTTAGTCTCTAGACTGACACTGTTGCTCTTTAGTACTCTGGAGAGGTCCCTGACAGATTTTCCCAATGCAATTTGTCTCTTAATTTCCTGGCTGCTGGTACCGAGAGTGTTAATTTGGAGCCAAGCAAGCTGAAGCTGTTTACAATCTCAGTCTCTTCTCCATCTATCATGATGCTTCCAATTGGTCCAGTGGTGAAAATCTTTGATTTCTTGATGTTGAGCTTCAGTCCGTATTAAAGGCTCCCTATAGGATGACTGTAACACCAAGAAGGAGCTCACTCCTTAGAATAACCAACCATATAAAGATCGAAAGAGAAGCATTCGCCCAAAATCCTGACAGCTGGAAGGGGTAGGATAGAAGGATTAATAAAAATGAGAATTACAGGATTTGTACTGTCTTTGATAATACGTGGTGACATCTTTCTGTCCCCACTGGACAAGTGGCACTGGGACCAGTAAGAACCAGTGTCTGAGCTATGGGCTGACATAGGCCTTTGGCATATTCAAGCAGAATGCATGGAAAAGTACTGGAAAACGAGAACTTGGAAAAAATGAGAAAGTCTGAAGAAAGACAGTTGAGAGACTCAAACCTGTAGTAACTCCTTTCCGAGAAGTAGGAAGGTGACAACAACTTCGTCCTCGTCAGCGTCAAGGACCATTGGAAATGCCAGGGCTTGAGAAGAGCTGAGCAGGTGAACAGGTGTTCACCCAAGTTCCTCCACCCCTAATACTCTCATGTAACACTAGCCTGGCCACCGCCTTTTGAAACTGCTATGTGATCTTCCAGTCAGGAGGCTGGTTGATATTCCACTCGGGAAACCTCCTTTGTCCTGCCCTTGTCTGAACAGTAGACCGTAGTAGGCCTTTGGGGTCCGACTCCAGTCCGTTCTCCCTGGAGGCTACTCTCTTTATCCACCGTGAACTCTGCTGTTTCACCTATCACCACTAACCACCGTTTTTATACACACTAGCCCATCATGAGTTAGATCTTAAGAAGAAAGACAATGATTTTTTAGCTATCAGTCCTGATTTTAATATAGTATTTTTGTGGCTTTACAATAAACTATCTAAGAAATAACGTAGTCCCTGCCTTAGTTTGGGTTTTGCAGGGGATCAGATCCAGTGAACCTGGTCTAGGTGGGCAAGGAGAGACAGATCTGGGAAATAACAAGTCCGTGGGTCCTGTGGTCCCCAGGGCTGGCAGACTCGAGATGCACAGGTCACACGGCGGGCTTGGTGCTCCTGGCTTAGTCACGGGGGGGGGGGGGGGGTGGCGAGTCTAAAATCTGCAAGTCAGGCCGCAGGGGGGGAGAGTTGTGCAGATTTACATTCCCAGAACCATGGGTCAGGCAGTGAAAAAAAACACAGGGGCAAGAAGAGCAAACTGTGCCAAAACCTTGATTTATGTGCTGGAGGCCGAGCACAGCGCCAGGGAAGTTCCCCTGTGAGCGGATCAGCCACTCACAGCAGGCCACAAAATAAAAAGGGATTCCAGTGTTTGCCAAACCATTGAGAACCCTAGTCTAGCCAGGCAGGTTGACCTGCACCTTTAACCCTCACAGGGCCAGTCAAGGCAGTATTACCTGCTCAGGACCTCTGAAAGTATAACTCGGGGAAAGAAAAAGATGTAGCATTAAAAACAATCCGAAAAGCCCTTACCGTCGAGTCAAATCCAGCTCAGAGCAGCCCTATAGGACAGAGTAGAAATGGCCTAGCAGGTTCCCATGGCGTACCTTCACGAGGACAGCCGTGTTTCTCTCCTGAACGGCTGTGGGGTCAACTCCCAGGTGTTCCATTAGCGGCCAAGCACATAATCACTGTGGCCCTTAGTCTCCTTAAGGTCCGACATCTGTCTGTCTCCTTGACACCGAGTTTGAGCTGACCCTCTAGCTGCTCTTTGAGGCTGTAAATATCACACGGGAGGAGATTGCCCATTTTTCTCCTACAGAGCAGCTGGTGGACTTGAACGATCAGAGAGGTTAGACCTTTGTGTGAGCAGTGAGGCTCCCTGAACTATGCCACCATAGCTCCTGAAGGTCAGGTGTACTATTAATGAAATAAGAATTCTTTGTATCTTCTTCACACTTAACATGCACACACATGCATATGGAATTTTTAAGAGAGAACATATTAAATACTTAATTGGCTGACTAAAAAGGATGAAGGTGATTAGTGAGCTTTAAAATTGCATGGGATTTTACATGTTCATTTTTAACTAGGGTCCTTTTTGTAGGTTACTCTGTTGTAAACTCCTGTGTCTTTCTTTGGGATATTCCAGATATCTCAGGTTTAAGTCGGGCTAGCTCAGGATGGATGGCGAAGAGATTGAGATTGTTCACAGCTTTAGTTTGCTTGGCTCCACAGTCAACACTCTTGGCACCAGCAGCCAGGAAATAAAAAAACACATTGTGATGGGAAAGTCTACTGTTAGGGACCTTTCCAAAGTACTGAAGAGCAGTAGTGTCTCTCTGGAGACCAAGGTGCGTCTAATACAGGCCATGGTCTTTGCAATCACTTGTTATGCATCAGAGAGTTGGACAATGACTAGAGAGGATAGAAGGAGAATTGATGCCTTTGAGCTGCGGTACTGTAGAAGAGTATTGAGAATACCATGGACTGCTAGGAAAACAAACAGATTCATCCTGGAAAGGGTTAAACTGGGTGGCTCCTTGGAGGCAAGGATTCTAAGGCTCCGTCTAACATACTTTGGACATGTGACGATGGACCGGTCCTTGGAGAAGGACATCATGCTTGGGAGGGTGGAGGGACAGCCAAGAGGGGAAGGCCCTCTATGAGGTGAGCTGATGCAGTGACTAGGGTAATCAGAATGGGAGTGTCAGAGACAGTGCGATTGGCACAGGACAGAGTGGAGTTTAGGGCTGTTGTGCATAGGGTCGCTATGAGTCGCAAGCGACTCGACGGCACATCACAACAACAGATATATTCCAAAAACATCAACATTGTTCATTCACCTCCAAGATTAAGGGTGACAGTTTCCTTCTGTCTTGGTTTTCTAAGTTCTTGCTTTCCGACTTTCATACAGTAAAACACATAAATATCTGTAGAAAAATGCTTCAAAAAATGGTGGTTATCAGTGTTCATAAAGTGGAAATTAAATGGGGGAATTTGCAATTTCAGTAAGATAAGTTCCAGCAAACTTAGGGTCACCAAGTCAGTTACGACTGACAGCAACCCCCAACCCTGTGGAGCAGAGGAGGACTTCCTGTAGGCTGTCGAAGGCTGCAACTCTTTCCTGAAGCAGATTGCCTCGTCTTCTGCTCACAGTGCCGCTGGTGGGCTCGAACCATTGACTTTTGGGTCAGTGGCCAAATGCTTTGATCATTCCACTAAAAAGTTCTTTTTAATCAAAAATGAACCTAGAAGAATAGCAGAAGGTCATATACCCTTTGGAAATCAGAATAAGAAGCAATTGCTACAGCACTCTGTGTGTGTGTGTGTGTGTGTGTGTGTACGTGTACACACCATCAAATCGGATCTGACTGGTATAGGAGGAGATTGTGCCTCCTTCTCCAGCAGAGTGTCTGGTGGATTTGAACCACACGCCTCTGGGATTGAAGTGCAGCTTCTTGTCACTAGGCTATAGTGCTCTTTAAGAATTCAGTTTTCTCCCCCTATCTAGAAACTTTGGAAAAAGCCCTGTTAGCACAGTGATAAGTACTTAGCTGCTTAACAAAAGGGGAGAGAGCTGTGGGAATGTTGTAGGTGACCACCTTCTTCTAGTGCTACCTGCATTACCTCTCACTTCCTCACTCCACTCCTCAGTGAGCACAGCACACTGAAGTGTGTAGCCGAGAGCGGCACCTCTGGACCACCTCGTGCTGGGCAGTAGGTTATGGCGCTGACCCTGTCCTCTGTAAGGCTGAGGAAGACGGAAGGATGCTGTCAGTATGGCGCTTCCCCCACCCCTTATTTTTCAGGTTCATTGAATTAGTATACTTTTCTAAATAGGTTGTTCTGTAGTCTAAAGAGAAAATGTTTGGTATACCACATGGCCACAATTGACATGTGTCAAGTTTTGCCCTAAGCAATTACTAAAACTGTGCTTCCTTCTGATTGGCCAGAGTTTATGTGGTGGGTCTTTTCCCAAAATTTCTCTAATGGCAAAACGGTAAACGTAAAGGTTAACTCGAAAAGCACGGTGGCTCTCCATATCACAGCTGTAAGATTTCTTTTTTTCTTGTTTGATACATTTACTGATAAGGTGAGGATTCAAAGAAATAAACTTTATCATAATTTTACTAGTCAGATAAGGTTAAGCCCTGTTCTAGAAATCTCTAGTACCTTCTTTTAAAACTGTTTTCATGGGAATTTATGTGAAGGGATAAACCCCAGACCCCTTGCCTTTGAATTGATGTGACTCATGGCTACCATCTGGATACCAGGCCCCGTTTTTCTCCCAGGGAGGGAGGGAGTGGTTAGACATGAACCATTGACCTTTTGTCACCAGTTTAGCAGCCAAGCAGATACACCCGCTGTGCCACCAGGGCTAAGATGGGGCAGTTTGGCACATGGAATGAGATTGCATTAATCTGATGGTTGGGGTGGCCCGGGGACAGAACTGCTGTATCCAGACAGACAGCCTGGCCCTCCTCAGACGAGAACCCGCCCTGGCCAAGTGGGAGTCCAAGGTAGGGACCTGGGGATGGTGGGGGGAGGCTGGACTGCTTCAGCAGATTCTGCAGCACCCTCTTTCCCTCCCTCACATCCTGCCCAAGGTGAGCATTCCAGGTGGCTGGCCTGTTCTGACACCATGTACTCACCTCTGGGGGGCTGTTCTGTTACTCTCGGGGCATTCATAAGCTAAGCAGCAGAAACAAGACCAAGACAAGGAGTTTTGGGGGGGTTTTAAATATTTTTTTAATTTCAATTGTAATTTTTATGAAAGTTTATAGAAAAGTTAGATTTTCATTCATTCCTTGTTGCTCATTTTTACCCCCTGCCACCCTCCCTCCAGTTCTCCCTTCCCTAGTTGACTTTTTTGTCTTTTCAAACATGCCTTGTTTACAGTTACCTCCCGCCCCCCGCCCCCTAGTCCTCTTTGCAATGAACTTCTCATTCTGGGCTGTTGTTATACATATAAAGCCTAATCATATATTCCTTTTAGACAGTTCTTCCCTTCATCAGGCAAGGAGTTTTCTTGTAAAATAAGAGATGCCAAAGGGTATTCCAGGATGTTCCTTTGGCGGGTGCCACATCCAACGTGGGCTTTGGGAAACGTGGTTTTCACTGAAGAGCATGGTGCTCTGGGAGCATAAGGAAACAAGTTTGGGGCTCAGCCAGCCAATCCCGCCCCAGAGGGTTTAGCCATGTCTGGTCAGACCCTGTCCCAAGTTCTCACGGCTCGTGCCAGTGAATAGCTGTTGTTCTTGTTGTAACGCTATATATATACAGCACAGCATTTGCCAGCTCATCGTTTTCAGGCCTACAATCTAGTGATACCGATAACAGTAACCACGTTGTGCAACCATCTCCCATAATCGTCATCAAACTTGCCATCACCATATATAAAAAGAAAATGCATTTTCAGGGTGCGCACGTAGGTTTAATAGTGCAAAGCTATCGGTTTCCTCCTAGATCCAGGACACATCTTAAACATTCATGTTAAATCTTGTGCCTTGGAAAGAAATCTTTTCTTGTTAATTTAAGTACTTCATGCCTATGTAATTTACTTGGGGTTTTAAAAAGGTGTGGCTAATTATAATGTTGAAATGTTACCTTTAAGCCTTGCTGCCGGTAAGTGACTCTTCCTCTGATTTTATGGAGCAAAGATGGACTAGTTTGGGTGAGTTTTGTAGTGTGGTAAAATTACATGTATCCAAACAGTTGGCATTCTGACAGTCTTCACATGTCCCATTCGGTGTGGCTCTGGTCATTGTTGGGTGATTATTCACTCCGCTTCCCCTCTGGTGGTGGCACTAGTGAGCTGTGAATCTGTCACTAGGCCAGCACAGGGGAAAGAGGGCGGATTGGAAGGCAAGATGCTGCTTGGAGTCACACAGATCTGCAGAGGGAACCAGACCTTTTACCAACCGTAGTCTTTACTAAGAGGCAACAGCTAATGGCTAGGAGTGCACAGCATGATAGATAGATAGATAGATAGATAGATAGATAGATAGATAGATAGATAGATAGATAGATAGATAGATACACACACAGAGACAGACACCCCCCCCCAAACTTGGGGCAGTGCTTAAGAAAAATGGAATTGTTGTATTACTCATGTCCCTTCTTGTTTTGAGAGAATGCATTACTGATCATTCTTTTTAGATGACATGCCAAAAAGTGTCTATTAGATCTTTCTGAAACTCTAAAAATCATTTTCTCCTATGGGGGCCTCATTACCAGAAGCATGGACCTGAAACTAATCATTGTTGTTGTTGTTGAGTACCATCGAGACAGAACTGATGCATAGCTGACCCTCCAGTGGGTTTTCAGAGGCTGGAAATCACCAGGGGAAACTGCTAGCCTTATGCCTGCAGAGTAGCTAGAGGATTTGAACCACGTGCCTTTGGTTGGTAGCATGTCTTTACACTAAGCCACCAGAGCTCTCTGACCATTAGTGTTTATTTAATATCCACTCTCCAGGCAGAGTACTAATTACATAGTTACAATATCTTTTTTCAATCTTTCTGGTAAAATGGGAAAGTAAAGAAGGTTGCTTTCCACTAAGATTTAAAAAAAAAACAACAAACCTCTCAAATAATATTCCAAATGTGCCAGATGAGAGGAAAATTGTCGACACCCTCTGTTAGAGGTCCTGGAAGACCTGTGAAGACCGGGGGTTCTTGCTGTTTTGAGTAACTGTTTCTTCAGTCTTACTTATGGAATTTTGTTGCAAAGAGTAAAACCATTTCCTCTAGCTGGTCATCCGAGGCACCTTCAGTGTTAGTGCACATCGGGCAGAGTCCTCCTGTGGTGCAGGGTAGGGAAGAGGGAAGCGGGCTGCAAATTGGGGTTTGGGGAGATTAACTGGACAGTCGTCCGAGCTCCTGCCTTTGCTTGCCAGGTGGAGGAGGAGCTGCAGGAGCAGGACTTCCTGGACCGCTGCTTCCAGGAGATGCTGGACGAAGAAGACCAAGACTGGTTCATTCCCTCCCGAGACCTGCCACAGGCCATGGGCCAGTTGCAACAGCAGTTAAATGTGCTGACAGTCAGCGACAGTCATGATTCTGAAGATATTTTGGTAAGAGCCATATGTGGTTTCCCTTGCACTGAAGTGAAGAAAACCTAGGATTTGGTGTCACAGACCTCTTTCTTGACCCTACAACCTGGGGCAGGTCCCTGTAGCTCTCCGGGTCAGTGTTCACTGATCACACAGGCATTCACAGGAGGGTGCTTCGAAAATCATTGCACCTTGTAAAGTACCGCGAAAACAAAACTGGCTCCAGCATCCTCCCACTTCCCCCCTTAATACAAGTTTTGTAAAGTGGAATTGGATTGTTGTTGTTGCTTGCCTTCAGGTCAAGCATGACTCATAGCAACCCTGTGAACAAAATGTATGAGCCCCTCTACAACTGTCGACGTTTATCGAAGTTCATAGAGTTTATGGAGGCATGTTATTTAGGACGTGGATGCCACTCCTGCTTCCAAACTGGTCATAGTATGTTCTTATGTGCCATTGAGTCACCTGTGATGTATAGCAACCCTGTGTACAGCACCTCTGAACCCTTCCCTGTCCTGAGCCAGTCTCACTAACTCTGACACGCCAACCCCCATCACCCCAGTCACTGTATCAATCCATCTCATCTGGGGTCTCCCTCTCCTACGCTGTCTGTCCACCCTTTTGAGCATGATGTCCTTCTCTAAGGACTGTTGTCTCCTGGCCACATGCCCAAAGTAAGTGAGGTGGAGATTCAAAATCCTAACCTCCAAGGAGAGACTTGGTTTCACCCTCTCCAAGACAGACCGATTTGTTTTCTTGGCAGTCCATGGTATGTTCAAGACTCTTCTCCAGCACCACAACTTGAAGGCATTATGAGTTGGAACTGGGATTACGAATAAAAAATCTGCGCCCTGAAGAGGTTGGGCTTCAGATGATGTTTTGCTGTTGCCTCTCCCATTCACAGCATCCTGAATCTGTATTTGACCTCTTTTTGGATGTTCGAGCATTTACTTCCTCAGTTTGAAAGGAGTGTGCTCCTGAGCGTCCATTTTCCCTCTTAGGAGACCTGGTAGGGTGGCGCCCCGACTTCTGAGTTTACTTGAGCTGTGTGAAGGACAGGGTCCTGAATGACTGCAGCCTGCAGTGTTGCCTAATTTAAGTGAGCGTGGTGAAATGAACAGCAGGAATCCTGGGAACCGTGCTCGTTTGATGGGAGAGCTCATTTTCATGGGGTTATGATACTTGGGACATGCAAAGATTTTTCCTCCCCCTTATTTGAAAACATCCCAGAGGAAACAAGTGTCTAAAGAAAGGAGAAGATGGACTCAGTCAGAGCGTAGTGTGTCAGGAGCACGGGAGCAGCCAGCTGTTGTGCTGAGGAGACCCCAGCACACGAGGCACCAGCAGCCTGAGCTTAGTTCCTTTCTCACTTTGAGGCTGAAGGGAAGACACAGCTAGTGATGGGAGCTTTGAGAGAAGTGCAGCTTCTTCCCTTCAAATTTATTCTCTCTCCATTTCTCTTTCAGAGCAAAAGCACCCTGAACCCGGATGCCAAGGAGTTTGTTCCGGGAGTGAAATACTGAGTTGACATATGCTCCCAGAAGGACTTGTCCATCTCCACAGCTGGGGACAGTGCTGTGCAGAAAGGCAGAGCTGAAGAGGGAGGGCTGGGGAGGGGTGCACATGGGGAAGGGGACAGTGGTTTAACTCCTGTGACTTGAGTAGCTGATGTGCTCAGTCTTATTCTGCAAGCCTACGACTATTTCTCTTTCATTCTACTGACTTCTGTGGGGAGCAGTTCTTTCTCTTCTTATTTTAGTTAGCCCTTTGAGTTAGGGGAAATTGCAGTCTTTCTTCCTTTCCCCTACATCAGGGGTATCTGCTGTACGTTTTTAAACAAAAGAAGCTGACCAAGAAAACCAAGGTGTTTAAGAAGGGCCCACCTCACCCTGCTGGGTACTTCAAAGGGCAGAAGCTTTGCTGTGGGAGGCAGAACAAGAGAAGGAAGCAAGTGAGGCAGACGAGGCCATGACACTGAGCCCCCAGCCCCTGGAGATATCCTGTGATGAACTGGAGTGCCCAGGCGCCTTCGGTGCCCATTGTTCCCTGCTCTGAACTCTGCTCAAGAAAACACAGGCTTAAAGTGCTGGTTGACAGTCAGCCCTGATGGTGGATGAAGGCAGAGATGTGAGGAGGCGTGGTGGGACCGCGGTTGTCACGTGAGCCTTCCAGTTATCGATGTCCGACTTTCAAGTCTCTGTTTACAGCTACCAACAGACTCATCCTGTACAACGTAAAAGGAACATTAAGGTTGATCTGCCACCGCATCTCTCATGGTGTCTCCTCCCGTGTCCCCCGTCTGCCCCGCCTGCATTCTCAGATAGAAAAGATGCCATTCCCAGAGCTGTGAGGGATGTGTGCTGTGCTGAGGACACGGGCTGTGCTGCCTTTCAACTTGAGCCTGGAGATGTCATTCTAGAGTCCTGTTCGTTTTGTCTCAAGTTTATTTTGCACGATTTGTTTTTCCAGACTCTTGAGACTTGGTCCCCATGTTCTTCTCATTCCTTCTTATGTACTTTCATAAGTAAGTGTATTTTTCCAGACATACACAAGCAGCTTACTTCACAGGGCGAGTGCTTCTCCCGTAGGATTATGCCGAGGAACTCCGAAAGCCTGGGGGAGCGAGATCTGCTTTATCAAGGCGGCTGGAGCTGTGGTTCATTCCCATGCAGCCTGCAGTGCAAGACGGTTGCGTGCCCTGGGCACGTTCCTTTCCTTGCCTGTGTCCAACTTGCAGGGTTTTGTTGATAAGGATGATAGGCAATGGCGCTGCCTTTGTGGACTCTGGATGCAGAGGCAGAGTCTGTTGAAGGAAGTGGTGTCTCGTCCTGGCCCTTGTCCCAGGACGAGGACTCGCAGAGGCCTGAAGGCGAAGGCAGTTTGTGTGTGACTGCCGCTGTGCCCCTGCACCATGGGGTGGGCCTGTCAGAAGTGGCCGATTCACTTGAAATAGTCTGTGTAGATTTGGTATGTGAATATGGAGCCGAGGTTGAGAGCAAAGAGGTCGGGGCCTGGGACGCTTTAAGTCTCCTTTTCCTGATGAGTTCCCACTGACTTTGAGGAAGAGCCGCAGGCTAGTGTGACCTTCATGTGATTGAACAGGAGAAAATCATCTCTCGGCGCATCATTTGCATCTTCAGGTGACATCATTTGAAAAATGACCTTCCTTGTCAGGGCATACGTCACAGGGGACTAAGTTGAAGAGTTTGTATTTCCAGACAAACGCATTCATTCTTCAAGCTTCTACCTCACGAGAATGAAAGCGTTAATTCTTCTTAGTGGGGGATGGAGGACTTAGAAATAAAGAAACTTGAGGATTCAGCTTCCACGTACACTTGGCCATCCCTCTGGGAGACAGGGCCTTGGAAGTGCAGCAGTAGAGGTCTCCCTTCTCTTGAGCTGCTTTCCCCTGTCCCTGTCCATCCACCTGTCCATCCTCAGCATTCTGCAGACAGTTGGACATGTGATGACAGAGAGCACATTCTCAAGACAGTGGGCGTCTCCGTCATTTAGAATTGAGACTGTTCTTGTTGAGCTTCCCATCTGGAAAGTCCTGCGGGGATCCAAGGGAAGCAGTTTCTCACCCTTGGGGAGATCTGCTGACACCCGCCTGGCCTCATGGTGTCTGTAGAATGGGGTGCTTGTCTTCTTACCTCCCCCCCCCACCCTGCTTCATTTCAGAATAGCCAATTTGGATTTTGATCTTAAGTAAAGCTTCGCGAGGCAAATTTGGTTAGGACGGAAAGTGGGGGAGGGAAATAACAAACACCTCCTACCAGAGAAGTAGTGGGACCTGAGGACTGGAGTTTCTGATCTTCGGACACTGAGGGAATTTAAATGCATTGCCATGCCAGTTCAAGTGTGAGAGGCTAAGTCTGTGTAAGAATTAGGGTCCCTTTTCTCCATCTTTTATCTTGTAAGGTGGAGTGAAATTACTAACCAGCCCATAAACGGACCTAATGTTTGCCACCATCGTACAGGAAATACACTTGAGTCTTGTTGGGCCTTCACCAGGAAAGGCTGAGAACCTGGTATTATCTTTCTTTTTCTCACGGGAAAGGTTACAAGTGCAGGCCGGGCTTGTCATCTCTGTTTTAGTGGTGAGGTGTGTTTTTATTTAAATGATTATTTTTATGTTGCTATTATGTTTTGTTCAGACCTCTTTTTGGCAACTGGGAGACTGAGGATGTGTCTGTGTCCCCACACAGTCCCCAGGTCTGACTGGGCCCTCTATTAGTACACTAGTGGCTATTACGATAATTTATTTGATTCTGTGCCTTGGAGAGGAAAATTTTCTTTCTTCAAGAGAAAAGGAAATGGGTAGAAAGGGCTTTTGAATATCTTCAGGCCTTTGAACTGAGGGCCGGCTTCTGAACACAGCAGTGGGTTTTGGGGTGTCACATCAGGTCAGCCCAGAAACCACCACAGGGACAGGCTGGACGTGGCGGCACCTTTCTGGCCCAGAGGTAAAGTAACGAGGGTCTCAGAAATGAGGAGTACAGTGTTAACCGTGTGTGTGTGAAATGGTGGCAGCACTTTCCACATCGTGTCCTGTTAGTGTCACCATTTGGACAGATTTTGAGAGGCTGGCAAGTCAAGGGGGCTGAATCCTGGGGGGACACGCGTCCAAGAGGAAGGTTGTGTGGAGAGACGGGAAGTGAATAGCTGGTATGCATCATTTTGCAGCTGTGCTGCTGACCCCCCCCCCCCCCATGTAGAGAAGTGACTGACCACCCAGGCCCCCGAAGCCCCTGGACCTGAAGTCTGCTCACGTGTGATCTGAGAGCAGATGTGCTTTGATGAGGGTTCCTGTGCCACCAGCTAATGAGCTTTCTCGGCCTGGGTGATGCTGCGATGTGGGAACAGGCAGAGGGGTTACAAATGTGGTCAGGATTTGGAGACGTCCCACCTACTGGGAGAGACGGCCTCCCCAGCCACCCTTCCCCGGCATCCTGCAGCATTCGTGTGAGAAGTGAGAGATAGGAGAACGGACCCCAGTATGGCAGCTGTCCACGCGGACTTCGCAGTGTTCTGTGCTCCCGTGAGGGTCACCTCACTCCTCACTGCCCATGTGGGTCAGTCACACTGTTCACCCTTCAGCCGCTGCACTGCAGCCTTGTGTTGCCGTTCACAGAGCGAGTGAGCTCACACACTGGAAGGGGTTTTGTTCCCTCCGCCTTCACCGTCTTTCTCTCCTCTTCAAGCTGCTCCTGCTGATAAGGAAACAGTCATCCCAGGCAGACACTCCGACTCCTGCCCAGCTCCCACTCCTGTGCCTGCGCAGTCTGTAATTTTAGGGGGTCCTGAGAATAGGACAGCCGAGGCCGTTGATCTGTGAATGGTGTCAGCCAAGAGACCTGCCCAGGAGACAGGAGCAGAATCCAGAGACAGAGACAGCATCTTCTGCCTCGACAGAAAAGCTCCCTTCTGCTGGGTTGTTCCCGGAGTCATAATTGCAACTTTTCCTTAGCTTGCTTCCCCACCTTTTCCTGACTTTTTTATTGAAAAATCTGGAGCTTTGGTGCATCGTGGATCACGCTGCTAACCAAAAAGAGACCATTTAATGCTAAAAAGAGAACTACTGAACTAGTTGAAAAGTTTCCCCTCTCAGCAACACTAAGTGACAGTCCGGCCCTGGTTGATCATGAGTGGTCATAACTATCAGTGTTTGATGGTCATAACTATCAGTGTTTGATGGACGACTGAGAAGGCAGGAGTCCTGGGTTTTTGTCTTACGTTTTATCTATCATGAAATGAAACCATTTTAAGTATACGGTGAGGTGAATGACTTCCTCAAATGGTACAAGCCATCAAGCAGTGCTGGGATATTTTTATATCCACTTTCACCTCAAACCACACACACTCCATGCGGTCACTCATGCCCACTGCCTCTTACTCCAGTCCTGGTCAGTCATTAATCTACCTTGTTCATTGACTTGTTTTCTAGACATGATTATACAGTGTGTGCTCATGTCATCACGTCATGCTTTGATGTTCCCCCTGCTGTACTATGGTCAATAGCTTATTCCTTTCTACGGCTGCATACACTCTGCTAAGGGCTGTGCTGTACTGTCAGTGAGGGAGCCCTTTGCCCTTGGGTCTCAGCCCCTGTGGTCTAGATGAAACCCGCAGTGCCCAGTTTGGAGGGGAAGCCATTTTGTATGCTGAAGGGACTGTTGTCACACCAGCGAGGTCATCTTTTACACACCGCACTACAGGAGCCAGAACTGCTGCAGAAACTCATTTTCTATCAGAAACTGTTATCAGGACTTTTGAAACATAAGCTCTTCATGTATTGTGTTAGGCATGTGCTGGAAATGAAACCATCAGTGCTCCTCTGGGTTCCCCACCCCTCCCGAGGCTGACTAGGGGAGATCTCTGAACTTTGTCTCTAGCACAAAGCTGACCACGTTTGAAGATCTCACTGCCATCACTGGACAGCTCGCGAAGGCAGCAGGGCAGATGAGAGAGGAGGAGAGCCGGAAGAGGGAGTGGAGCTGGGGCATGAGGAGACCCTGGGAGCCGCGTGCCTGGAGCACTGGCTGTGGCCTGGACCCAGTGTGGATGCGTCCGAGCAGCTCAGTGCCCACAGGCCCAGCTGGCCTGCACTCGGAGCCTCATCCGTTGCACAAGTGTTTGAAAGCTCTTATTGTTCTTTTTTTCTCCCCCTAAAATGTTACATGGTAGTTACTAATTCTTTGGAGGAGGGATGGGGCTTCGAAATTGAGGAAACAATTTTCATAAAAATACAAAAAATGGAAAAAAGTGACTTTAAAACCATTTTTGCTATACAAACCAAATGGCAGCTGTTGAAAATCTCAATAAAATGAGTACGATGTGTCTGTTTCCCTTGTTACTTTTTCCTTAGGTTGGGTCATTCATTCTGCATCAGACAGCGAATAAGTTTGGGGGTGGGAGGATGTTGGTTTTCTTTTCAAGCCTGGTTCTCCATCCCAAAGTTGGAAGCTTTCAAAAACCATTTCCTTTGTGTGCTCTGTCTGGGCCTGTTTCCTTATTTGTGATGGTCCATTTTCCTTCACAAGGCGAGTGAAAATAAGTTAATTTTAGACATAATCAGTACATGACCAGCCAGCATTGTTAATCAGGGCCACAATATGTTTGCCAACTTTGAGTCATAACAGGAAATCCTTGGGCTTCAGAAGAGAAATTATTTAAAGTTTTCTAAGCAAAACTGACATCTAGTTTAACAATACAAAGGACCTCCCTGCCTTTCAGCTACACAACAGGTTTGGGAGCCCACTTCAATACCAATTCAAGGCATTGGGGTCTACGGAGTAACAGAGCCCTAGAGATTAATTCTGGTAGTATTGACTTTGAATTTACATCAAGCTTAAAACTCCCAATGATTGAAAGATTATCTGCCATAAAGATCCAGCCCAGCATAGGGCTGATGGGTTTTGTTCTGGGGTTGGTGAGCTTTTGTTGAAGGCTTTATCACCTTCATGAAAAGGGTTAGGGCAGGATCTGAGGAGACTTGCATAGTACAGAATTTTGAGACGTTACAGACAAGTAGGGTCACCACCATCTGCCAGTTTGCTGAACTGTGGTGGTTTGTGATATGCTGGAAACTATGTCCCCCAGAATTTCAGATACCAGCTGGGTCACCAAAAAGTTTTCAGCAGAGCTAACAAATGACGAAGAAGCAGGATTAGAAATCCACTTCCGAAATAAGAGGGTCTCCAACCCTCAGGAATGCCTAAAAGAGACACATTCTAGGCACTAGTAAGCTCAGGTGGACTAGTATTGGCCATTCTGAGTCAGTCATATTATCTGTGCACCTAGAATGAAAACCACAGAGGAAATGCACTTATTGCCAAAAAGAACATTTGAAGGTCTGTCCTTGAAATGCAGTGCAATGGCAGGGTAAGACATGCATATAAGGAAGAACTTGCAAAAGTTACAGTAAAAAATAATACAGCTATTATTCAAATACACGCACTAGCCATTTACAGCCAAGTGCTATAGTGAGAATTTCTACCAGTTTTAGCACTGTGGAATGATCATGTAATCAAGATTTATTAAGTGACTGGAATGCAAAAGCTGGACTGGTTGGAAAATATGGTCCCTATGACAGAAATGAGTGATCACAGAATTTTGTTTAGTCAATGAGCTATTCATTGCAAGTATCTCTTTGAAATATTGGCGGCTATATACGTAGACCTCAACTGCTAGAATACCCGGGAGTCCAACTGACTAGATTATTGGAAAGAGATAGTGGAGTAGCTCAATGTTGGTTGTCAAAACAAGGCCAGGGGCTGTGGAACAGTCTCTTGGTTACTTTGTTTATGTATTCAAATTAAGACTGAAAAATGTAAAACGAGTCCACAAAGAGCCAAAGTATGACAGGATTTTAAAAGGCAGTTTGGGAAGACAAAGCAAAATTTTTTTAAATATGCAAAAGACCAATAGTTAGAAAACCAAAAGGGAATAGCATGGCATTCTCAAGCTGAAAGAACTGAAGAACAAATTCAGGTCTCAAGTCACAGTACTGAAGGATTCTTTTTTTTTTAAATTTTTTTTTTAACTGAAGGATTCTATGGGCAAAGTATTGATGTCGGAAGTATCAAAGGAAGATGGAGGGAATGCAGTCCCTGGAAGAGTTATCTGATGCTGAGCCATTTCAGGAAGTAGCATCTAGTTAAGAACCAATGGTACTGAAGGGACTGGCAAAAAAAGGACCAGGAATTGATGGAGCACCAATTGAGGTGTTTGTGCCAACAGATACAACCTGAATGTGCCTACTAGTCTATGCCAAGAAACTGGGAAGACAGCTAGCTACCTGGCCAGTGACTGGAACTGATCTAACGGCGCAGGAATTAACCACACCAAGTATTACACACAAAATCTGGCTAAAATTAGAAGTGGCTGGAACTGTACAGTGTCAGGAAATTCCCAGAAATTAAGAGGATGTGGAAGGAGGCGTATAACTGCTGATGGCCGAAAGCCGAAAATACCATAAAGATGCTTGCTTGTGTTTTACAGACTATGCAGAGGCGTTTGATTATGTGGCTATTATGGCTAGTATTAAGAATGGGAATCCCAAAATATTTGTGCTTATGCGAAACTTGTTCATGAACCAAGCAGCAACTATTCAAACAAGGGGACAGTTTAAAATCAGGAAAAGTGTGCATCTGGGCTGTAATCTCATCCTTACCTATTCAGTCTGTATACTGAGCAAATCACTCAGCAAGCTGGACTTTATGAAGAATAATGTGGCTATCATGATTGAAGGAAGACTCCTAATCACCTGGGCTGTGCAAATGACAAAGGAAAGGAAGAAAGGAAGACTTGAAGCACTTATTATAGATCAAAGGCTTCAGTATGGGTTAAGAAAATAAAAATCCTTTCTACTGCCCCAATAATACCAGTACCAGCAGCCACTGTGGATCAAATACTGTCTTCAGTTCACCAAATAACACGAGCAGAGCAGGAAGCCCCTGGGCTTGCCGTTATTGGTCAGGTGACAACATCCAGGCCACAGGAAGCCGGTCTGTTCTTCAGTGACACCCGTTTCTTCATTCCTGGTCCCACACAATAGTGTCTTTAAGCAAAGCCAGGCTGAGAGGAACCAGGAAGAAGTAACCAGTAATTAGGGCTTTACCTAATTGGTTGCCTTTGATTTCAGCAATCTTCATCTCTCGCAAATTTATCCAAGTCAAAAATGGCCCAAATGATTCATCCACAATCACCCTACCAGTGAGGTTCAGATTCTCTTATTTTCAAAGCATACCCTGTCCCCTACAGTCACAACTGCCTTGGTGCCTTAGTCCATAAAGAATTGCGACACCAACCCAAAGGTGGTGGTGCTTCTGTGAGTTCGAATCCACCACCAGCTCTGAGGGAGAAAGGAGGACAGTCCTCACCGTGTGACTTAATCTGGGAAACCCACCAGAGGGTCAGCTAAGGGGTAGGTTTGACTGGAAGGCAGTGAGGGGTTCAGTCACTGAAGGAGGTGTCGTAGGCCGAAGGTCATTCGTTGTGATGTTTCCTGGGGAGAATATACAGTCCTGAACATGCCTGGGCAGAGATCATTACAGAGGTCACGGATTAGCTGGCAGCCACAAAATACAGTGATCTGAGGAAGGAGAGCCCATGTAGATCAATCATTAGCCCAAGTGCACAGCAGTAAGCGTAGCCCACAGGCTGAAAGGCTGAGCCCTGGATCAGGGCTTTCAACCTTGGACTTGAACTATCCTGAGCCCTGTGTGGCTCCTGGCAAGTGCACTGAGATGTCCACTCTGTGGATGAAGGCAGCCACGTAACACAATCCCAGTGGGGAGGAGATAAAGTGCTTTAATTTTCTTGTGTTTTTGTGAAAAAAAGGAGAGTCCCTTCCTCCCACATCCAGTGTCCACTGGGCTCCACCCGGGCAGAGCTAGGCCAGCGCTCTAGGAGAAGGTGTGGGAGAAGAAGGCTTCGGCGTTGACAGTGTAGTCCAGAGGCAGTGAGTGTCCGATGTGCTTGGCCCCAAGGCTGGCCCCACCCAGGGCTGAGGAGTGCCTCAGCTTCATCAGGGTGAACCTGGAGAAAGCGTCCTGAGCCTGGACTTCTCTGCCCTGGGTCAGAGCCAGAAGAAAACCTGGAGGAGAAAGAAGAGAAAGAGGTAGCTGGAACCCAAGAGTGCCTGTAGAAGAGACAGTGGGGCCCCGTGCCAAATCCCTAATACCAGGAGCACAGGAACCCAGGAACCTCTGGGGGCACAGGAGCCAGCAGACCCTGTTCAGTCCCCGGCTACTGCAAAGTCCAAGGAGGCAGTGGGGTCCCTGAGCCACTAAGAGGTGTCCAGTGGACAACCTCCAAGTGCTGGAATAAGGCTGCAAGGACTAAGCTGTCCTGTTTCCTTGCTGGGCAGGAGCACGTGCTGCCGGGGGATGTCACCACAGATTATCACACGACTGTCAGGAAACCAAATTTGAAGTTGTTTTAGGTGCCACTGAGTCACGTATAACATTATGAACAACAGATCTGAACCCTGTCCTGTGCCAGCCTCGTCTCTGACACACTTGAGCCCATGCTGCAGTTACGGTGTCGATCCATCTGGCTGAGGGTCTTCCTTTCTCTCTCTGACCCTCCACCCTTCCAAGCACGATGTTTCTCCTCCAAGGAACAAGCCTCTCCTAAGAAAATGTGAGATGTAGCTTTGTCTTTTTGGCCTCCAAGGAGCACTCCGGCTGCACTTTCTCTAAGACTGGTCTCTAATCTTTTGGAAGTTTCTGCTACTTAATAAACCTTTGGGAAAAGATCTGAGAGTTGGTGGAAGCTTAGATGAGGGCTTACTTGGCTTGATGCTTTGGCCACGAGTCGAGGCCCTGGGGCCCCTGCCCACACTCCCTGGAGCCTTCCTGGGTCACCTCCTTCCCAGCCTGTCCCAGAGTCTTCCTCTCCTCTCCCCACCTCCAAACTCACCTTCCTTCAGCAGCTCCCAGCTCTTCCACACGGACCCAACGCACAGGATGGGGAGGCCGAGTTCTCCTTGGAACAAGACCTGGACAGAGGGAATGGACGCAGGGGGCTGACCATGCCTTGCCAGGAATGAAGGGGGAGTTTCTGAGGATCAACCCCACCTATGCCAGTCACTCGCCTTCTAGTCCAGAAATAGAAGATACATGCAAGGAAAAGGAAAACAGAAAACAGGGGAGACTTAAGAGCACCAGGGCAAGAAAAAGGGGTGAGCCACAATGCAGAGGAAGGAGAAAAGGGCAGGGAGGGACAAGAACAGGAGTGAGTGGGCAGAGCAGGGAGGCCCAAGAACCAGCGTCCAGACAGGGAGCACGTTTTCACACTTCTAATTTAACAGAATTTTTCTGGTAACCTTAGTTCTACAGTGGGACCCAGCTGGCCTTAGTATTAGGCAGTATCGAGGCTAACTGGCAAAACACAGTCCACAAGTCCCTTTGTGACGGGTCTGACTATCCTGCAAAAGCAGCCATCAGGGATACACCCGAGACAAAAGGGAAAAAAGGCAGAGAGCATTAAGAGAACCCGTCAGTCCATCCAAAGGGCAAATGGACCACAAAAGCCTCAACTCCCATGAGCTAGACACCAGAAGAGTACACAGCGACGGCCGCACTGCTGACCAGGCTGAAAGGCATCATCGTGGCAGCTGGTTCTGGGTAGTGGTATGTTGTTGTTGTTATGTGCCATCGAGTCACTTGCGACTCATAGCGACCCTGTGTACAACAGCCCTAAACTCCGCTCTGTGCTGTGCCAATCGCACTGTCTCTGACACTCCCATCCCGATTACCCCAGTCACTGAATCAATCCACCTCATAGAGGGCCTTCCCCTCCTGCGCTGTCCCTCCACCCTCCCAAGCATGATGTCCCTCTCTAAGGACCGGTCTCTCCTCATAACATGTCCAAAGTATGTTAGACGGAGCCTCAGAATCCTTGCCTCCAAGGAGCCACCCGGTTTAACCCTTTCCAGGACAAATCTGTTTTCCTAGCAGTCCATGGTATTCTCAATACTCTTCTCCAGCACCACAGCTCTGGGTAGAGTGGGGGGAAATGTGGACTACTGACATCAGTCACCCTTCAAACAAGAACAACAGTCAGGACACCCCTTCCCTTGGCTCATTCAACATTCTAGCAAATAAGACAGGTCTGTGGAAGGAGTATACAGAGTCACTGTACCAGAAGGAATTGGCTGACACAGAATTTGAAGTAACATATGAGCAGAGCCTGTGTTGATGAAGGAGGAAGTTCAAGTTGCTCTGAAAGAATTGACAAAAAAAACAACAAGGCTCCAGGAGTTGACAGCATACCAACTGACATATTTCAACAAGCAGACGCTGTCCTGGATGTGCTAAGGTGCGCTAAGAAATCTGGAGGATAGCCAACTGACTGGAAGAGATTTCTATTTGTTCCCAATCCAAAGAAAGGTGACCTGACAGAGTGCGGAAATTATCGAACAGTATCATTAATATCACACACAAAGAAGATTCTGCTGAAAATTATCCAAAAACTACTGGAGCAACATGTCAACAGAGAACTGTCAGATGTGCAGGCTGGATTTAGAAGAGATCATGGTACTAAGGATATTATAGCTAAAGTTAGATGGATCTTGGCAGAAAGCAGAGAGTACCGGAGGAATGTCTATCTGTGCTTCATTGACTTTGCAAAGGCTTTTGACTGTGTGGATCACAACAAACTGTGGCTGACTCTGAGAAGAATGGGAATCCCAGAACATTTGATTGTGTTTATGTGAAACATATCCTTGGACCAAGAGACAGTCATCAGAACACAGCAAGGAGACACTGCATGGTTCAAAATTGGGAAGAGGGTCTGCTAGGGAGGTATTCTGTCTCCACAGCTTTTCATTCTTTCTGTAGAACAGATCATCTGGGATGCTGAGCTGTATGAGGAGGAGGAATGTGGCATCAGGATTGGTGGAAGATTCATCAACAATCTCCATTATGCAGATGACACAACCCTGCTTGCTGAAACTGAGGAGGACCTGAAGTGCTTGCTGTAGAAGATCAAGGACTGCAGCCTTCAATACGGATTGAAGCTCAACATCAAGAGAACAAAGATTCTCACTACTGGGCCAATTGGCAGCATCAGTATGGATGGTGAAGGGATTGAGAGTTTTAGTTTGCTTGGCTCCACAGTCAACACTCTTGGTACTAGCAGTCAGGAAATAAGAGACAAATTGCATTGGGAAACTCATCTGTCAGGGATCTTTCCAGAGTACTGAGGAGCAATGATGTCAGGCTGGAGACTAAGGTGCACCTGATCCAGGCTATTGTCTTTGCAATTGTGTGCTATGCATCAGAGAGGTGGACAGACTAAGGATAATAGAGAATTGATGCCTTTGAGCTGTGGTGCTGGAGAAGAGTGTTGAATATACCACACAGACAACTAGGAGAACAAACAGGTTTGTCCTAGAGAGGGTGAAGCAGAGCTGCTTCTTGAAGTCAAGGATTCTGAAGCATCACCTGATATACTTTGGGCATGTTGCAAGGAGGGACCAGTCCTTGGAGAGGGACATTATGTTTGGGAGAGTGGAGGGACAGCGCAGGAGAGGAAGTACCCTCAATGAGATGGATCGATTCAGTCACTGGGGTAGTGGGAGTAGGTGTGTCAGTAACAGTGAGGTTGGCACAGGACAGAGGAGGGTTAAGGGCTCTAGCACAGAGGGTTGCTATGCGTCACAAGTGACTCGACGGCACCTACCAACAGCAAATGGTTTTGGGGAGGGGTTTTGTTTGCTTTTTGTATTGCTGTGTACCATTGGATCTGACTGGCACAGGAGGAAAGTGCCCCTCTTTCTCTAACACAGCATCTGGTGGATTTGAACCATGCGCCTTTGGGATTGCAGTGCAGCTTCTTGCCACTAGGCCCTGGCTCTCAGCCCCCACTTACCGGGTCAATCTTAGGTAACACAGCCACCACATGTCTGCCCAGCATCTCTCCGGCTTTCCTGAAGATGTCCCGGGAGAGGCCGTCTCCTTGCTGAGCACCTGGGTGGAGAGGGAAGATGATGAGGGGAGGCTGGTAAGCAGGTGGGGTGCTCCCAGTCTTGGGTGAATAACCTCATAGGGCAGGTGGTGACAGTGGAGCAGCTCTGGCTGGTGGAGGCCTCAATCGGGAACAGAGCAGAAGTCCGTCAGAGGGTGCTGGGGCAAGTATGCCTCCAGTGTGGCCACTGGCCCCTCCCGCTCCGTCCTAGGAGGGGCTTCACCCCAGGCACTGGAGGGCGCCCCCTACTGGAGGAGCCTGCACGGAGTTCATGTCTGTATGTACCTCGGGATCCCTCTGCTCTGGGGAGCTCCGGCCCGTACGCACAGCTGACTGGTACTCCTGCCCGTCACCCCTGCCCACCCATGAGTCTACCATCAGCTGTCCCTCTGCTGGCTCTACCGCAAGAGGGACAGGGCTGCCTGCCAGAGGCTCCAAGAAAGGGCCCAAGGGTCAATGCCTGAGGCTGGGCGAACCCACTGAAGTGAAGGGATTCTCTATGCTAGGGAGAGAAGCAGCAACGTGCAGATAACCTCATTCCACTTCTCCTGCACCCCAAAAGAGGCATAACCTGTCCACAGTCCTCCAGTGCTTTGAGAATAATGGAAAAGACCTAAACTTACAGGTTTAAACAGCTACTTCATGCATTTCTCTAAAAGGGACATACAGCCTCACAAACCATGACAGATACTGAGAAAAAGCACAGGCAACACCGAGTAATCCCTACGACCTGCACAGCCTTCAGCCCCAACCCGGTGCCACCAACCCACGGCCCATGCAACTGAGGTTCCCCGGGAGCCCAGCTTCTGGGCCTCGTCCACGCCCTCACTCCACCGTCCATCTGGAAGGGTCTCTGAGAAGCAGTGCCAGATACAAGCTGGCCCCACCTCCTGTACCTTCTGCAACTTTCCGGCAAAACCCAGCAAACCTGGACTTATCAAAGTCCCTGTACAGGTGGGTGAGGATGCCAAGCCGGTCGGGCACCTGTGAAAGAAAGGGCGTGCGGAGAGGTGACCACCCAAAGCCGGAGGACCCCGTCCGCACAGCCAGGGGCTTGGCTCTTGCCTTCACAGCAGCTGGGCTGTTCTTTTTTATGGAATCTAGAAAGTACCTGGATTTGGGACAGTCCCCTGTTACCCCCTAACACACCGACTCCGTACTGATCAGCCTGGAGGTAGCCCAGAGCCCAGCCCCGCGCCCCATGTTCAAAGCCCTGTGAGGGGCTCGAGAAAAGACTACTCTGGTCAGAGGAGTTTGAGAAACACTGCACATCGCCACGCCCCTCAGGCGGTCGTAACACACATCATCCAACTGAAGGTTCTGAGAAATCCCACAGTCAAGAAACCAATTTTGTTTCTCCCAAACTTATCTGACCACAGAAGGCCTGCTTCGTCCACCCCACCACCTCACATACCCTTGACACTTCCTAAGGTCCCGCAGGACCAGTGTTTCATGCAGCCAGAATATTTTAGGAAGTAGGAAAAGCGGCTAAAATGAGAGCACCTGCAGTAACACAGATAAGCGTTTTCCATGCATTCTCTCACGTTACCTACAACTACTTTAGACGTTAAAAGGTACAACGGGTCACGGAAGGTGGAGTGGCAGCTACTACTGTTATGGGCCGATGAGTCAGAACTGACTCAGAGCTGACCCTCTGGTGGGTGTTCAGAGGCTGTAAATCCCACTGCCCATCTTTCGCCCAAGGAACAGCAAGTAAATCTGAAATGCCTGCTTTTGGCAGCACAACTCCTTCCTCTCTAGGCCACCAGAGCTCCCTTCCTCCTGTAAGAAGTGACTTTTCCTTCCGGGTCTCCCCCCTACCCCCCTGCTGCACTCCCTGGCCCAGGTGAGTGCTCCTCTCGAACCACAGATGCCTGAGGCCTGAGAAGCAGGTCCTCTTTTCCAACATCTCTGGTCTCCTCCTGCCCGTCTCAGTCCATGCACGTAGAGGGCAGCACACTTCTTCCTACCTCTCCTCCCCCACCTCCCAAACAGATAAAGGTACTTCCTAACACAGGAGCAAAGCTGAGACAGGAGACAGGCAATCCCCAGAGCCGAGACGGCTCCCCACCAAGAACTCGCCTTTCTCCAGGCGCCCCACTTTCTGGCCTCTGCAGACTGGAAGCAGCTCTCACTCAACACACTTATTCTTCCTTCACCTGCTGCCTCTGCTCCACACTCTCCTGATGTCACCCCACACTTTTCATCCCAGAACACCATCTGCCCTCTCTTTCCAGGGGTGCCTGGCTGTCTAAGAATGCAGTCCGGCTAACTACTTACCCAAACTCATCTCTTCCACAAACGTGGCCCCTCCTGGAACATGATGACCTCCTGCCTCATCCCAGATCCTCACCTACAACCTCTCCAGCATCCTTTTCTTCACCCAGAAGTCCCTTCCTGCCCAGTCTCCCCCACCCTGTTCTAGCTGTGGGGTGCCCCACATACCTGGAAATAGCTGAACATGGCCTCCCTGACGTAGCCAATGTCGTGAGGTGCTGCCTTGAGGTTGTCAATGGAATCAAACACCATTTTCACTGCCTGGTGTGCAATCCAGTAGGCTGTGGGGTGCAGAGAGGGCTAAGAAGACGAGGCAATCTCCCCAAGCTCACCTCCAGAGAATGTTAGGGAGCTACAGCAAATCAGCTTGGATTCGGCTGGGTCACACAAGCATCTCCTTTAGAGAACAACAAGGCCAGTGAGCGGCCACACCAACCCCTGGAGTCAATGCCAAGAAACGAACAGCAAGGACCCCCATGAGAAGGTCTGCATGGTCTCTGTGAAGAACGGAGCCGCTGACTAACACGTCAGGTGCTCAACCACTAGTCAAGTGGCTGACGGTGCAAACCCAGCTGGAGCCGCTTCAGAAAACAGGCCTGGAAATCTGCTGAAAAGTCACAGCCTCATAAAGGCTGTGGGGCAGTTCCATGCTGCACACACAGGGGGTCCTGTAAAGGTGCGAGGGTGGGCAGAGCTTCCAGAATTCTCTCTCACCAGCAGACTGGTACATCGTGTCCTGCAACTACCACCTTAACGTTCTCAGCCTGACTTGTTCCCTTGGGACTCAAAAGGCCCTACACAGGTAAGCAGTGGCCAGGTAACCGAGTCTGGATCCACAGAGAGGTCATGCTGCAGAACAGACAACAGTCTGTCTGACATCTGTGTATCCCTGCCTCCCAGTCCTTATACTGGACCCACAAGTCAGGTTCTGGCGCTGTCCCCACTGAGGGACCCAGGGTCCAGCAGGCTGGGGCAGAGGAGAGGAATGCCGGGTCCCAGCTGGTGTGTCTCACCTGAGCCCTCATCCCCCATCATGTGGCCCCAGCCACCACAGCCGCTCTCCGAGCCATTGGGGTTGACCAGCCTGCAGTTGGAGCCTGTTCCGGCGATTAGCACAATTCCACCTAGACAGGGCAGAGGAAGTTAAGCATGGCCAAGGCTGTGAATGGGGTGCCTGGCCTCAGATCTGGGGCACAGCAGAGACCAGCTCAGGAGAGGGGTCCCCGCCCAGGCAAGCAGCACAGAACTGAGCCTGGCTAGTACCCTGACTCAAGATAGGAGACGTGGGCCTCCAAGAAACCCCAATGCTGTGGACACCCCACAAGAATATGTCCCTCGAGTGGACATGGCTCCGTGCCTCGCCTGCTCCCAAGCATCGCATCGACTGGCTCTTTAACTGGGCACTAGCTCTGTGCCAGGGACTCGGCTCAATCCAGTTCCCACAGTGACACTTGCTCGGCTCCCTGGACCTGTGAGTGCAGTTAGACTCATTCCATTGTGACAAAATGGAAACGTGAAGCAACTTTCTCCAGCTGACTTAACGGGTTAACGTGAACTGGGATTCCAACCCCAGTCAACACCAGGGCACCCGCGCTCCAACAGAGCTGTCAACGCTCTCGGGGCCCTCCCAACTTGCCCGCTGGCCTCCAGCACTCACTGCCCCAAAGACTCCCTTCTGCCCCAAGGTCTGTCCTCCCCTCCTTGTCCTCCATCCAAATGCCCTCCCCTTCCGGGACTTGTAAAGAAAGGACAGTTGGGCAGGGGGAGAACACCACGAAAGCTGTGTTCCCAGTTAGAGAGCAAGTGTGACCAGCCCCAGCTAAGGGGTAGTGCCACGGAGACAGTTCTCAGCCCTCCCGCACCTCCTCACCATCCGGCGTAGCTGTGGCGATGGAGCCGGCAGCGTCCGTGGTGATTAAGTAGCTCTCACTCAGGTGGGGAAATCGGTCCCTCAGCTCATCCGTCAGGGTCCTCACTGCGTCTTCCTGCTCCCCACCACTCAGGGATAGGCCCTAGGCCACGCAGGGGGTGAGCCAGCAAGCGAACAGGGACCCTGTCCTTCCTGCCATCTGGCCCCTGTTCTCCTCCTGACTTCTCCAGCCCCATCTTCCTTCCCTCCCCCACAATGAGCCCTCTGAAGGCTGTGGCTTAGAGCCGGGCCTGGACTAGGGACTGTAGTCAGCAATACCAGGTGTGGAGTGGGGTGGAACAGTTTGGAATGCACAGAGTATTTCACTGAGGCTATGCCTAGGGTGCAGCTGGAGCTGAGACAATTCTGGAAAAGAGCTGAGTGAGGAAGGAAACCAGCTACAAACGAATGAGTACTTACAGGTCAGGCTCCAAGCTAACCACTTTGAGATGTGTCATGCCGTTTTACTAAACTCAGTTACTATCCTCGTTCTTGGAGGTTCAGAGGAAACAAGGTATCCCGCAAGGGTCACACAGACAGTGGATACAAAGCTGGGCTCAAAACCAAGGTCCCAACGCCTCCAGGAAGCCCTGTCATGTTCCGACCCATTTGTGGCTAGAAGGTGGCAACTGAGGCCACAGAGTAGATAGACGGTCTATTGTGTGAGATTCTACACCAGAGACGAAACCTTGGAGGCTGCTCTCTCTACAACTGCGGTCCTCTGAACCTGCCAGCTACCCTACTGTCACTGGTGTCTGGACCCCAGACTCACCAGGCTGCGCAGAGGTACCAAAGGGTCCACCCCTGCTTTCTGCTTGGCTGTGTTCACCATCTCGTTGATCCTCTCCACACACTTGTCTGTTCCGATCAGCTAGCCCCAGTCAAGGGAAGGAAGAGTCAGTCACAAAGGCTCGAAGGACTTGCTCTGAACACAGAGGATGGAGAAAAAAAACGCCCAACAAGCCCGCCAGACCCACTCAGCGCAGCCTTTACCCAGTGGTTCGTGCTGAGCCCATCTGCTTCTGCCAGGATCTGCCCATCCTTGGAGAGTAGGAGGACCTTGGACCGCGTGCCTCCCCTGCAGGACACAAGGGGGCACTCAGCACAGCTCAGAAAAGCCTGCAGAGACAGCGAGTCCTGTCCCAACAGTGTGACGGAGGAGATGGCTTCAACACACCCATCAACCAGTCCCAAACCCACTTCTGTGGCTTGATATTTGCTGTCAACCAAAGTTCTCACTCATCTTACAGAGGATGCCCAACTTATCCTTCAAGATCTTATCTATCAGAAACCTTCCACCTGGCCGCTCCATTAGTTAAACCTGCCAGCAGTCCAAAGCTCTTCAGGAGGCCCAAGGCACTAGGTGTAATTAGTTGGGGTTCTGTCTGCCTCTCATGAGACTGTGAAGTCCATCAGGTCAAGGCTGAGATCATCATCTCCTGCCCAGCTCAGACCAACACTTAGAAACATACAGCTAAAGGGTGTATTCTTTCTCTTTGCTATTCTCGCAATAACTGAAGACAATTTTGGAAGGTCCAGCTCCAGCTACCAAGTTCTTCAAGCCACCTATGTAAGGAAGGCTGACCAGAGTGAAGGCAACTGGGTGCATGTCTACCTCCTGCATCAACCACATCCTCAAATGCCCAACTACTGGGGCAAATGGGAGTTTGGAGGGAGGTCTGTGGTGGTGTGATGTATGGTTCCTTACCGAGCAAAACGATTTTAGTACCAACACATATCTTATGCCATCGAAATAGTATCAGCTCATAACTGTCTCAAGTGGGTAAATCTCATGGGAGGAGACTGCCCATCTTTCTTCAGAGGAGCAGCCGGAGGATTCGAACTTCTTACCTTAGAGCAGGCAGCACAACTCCTTACCACTAGGTCACCAGAGCTCTGTAACACTAAGACAACACTGAAAACCTGCTGCTCAGACTCAAATGACATGAAATTTCAAGGGGCAAATTCAACATCCAAAAGAATCAACCTCAGAGTGAAAATACTGCCTGGCTCAGAATGAAAGCCACCCTCTACCATCCCCTGATTTGCCAGAGACAGATTCTCAGAATTTCTCAATGGCAGGGGGCTGGTCCATCATCGTGTTTCTCCCTCCCTTCATTTTAAATATGGGAGAGCTGAAGTCCAGAGCGATCAAAATTCTTGTCCATAGTCACACCAAGAAGCAGGGATAGTGGTAAAGAAAGAAGCAGGGATAGTGGAAAAAGCAGACAGCTCCTCATTAGGAAAAACATCAGAATAACAACGGGCTCAACCTTCAGTGAGGAGCCTGCCTTCCCACATCAGCGCTGCTGTTGTTACGTGCCTTTGAACCTGTTGTTGTTATGTGCCGTCGAGTCGCCTGCGACTCATAGCGACCTTATGTACAACAGCCCTAAACTCCGCTCTGTCTTGTTGCCAATCTTACTGTCTCTGACACTCCCATCCCGATTATCCCAGTCACTGAATCAATCCACCTCATAGAGGGCCTTCCTCTCCTGCGCTGTCCCTCCACCCTCCCAAGCATGATGTCCCTCTCTAAGGACCGGTCTCTCCTCACTACATGTCCAAAGTAAGTTAGACGGAGCCTCAGAATCCTTGCCTCCAAGGAGCCACCCGGTTTAACCCTCTCCAGGACTACTCCTATCTAACCCCCTGGCGGATTTTCAGAGGCTGTAAATCACTCGGAGGAGACTGCCCCACCTTTTTCTCGCAGAGCAAGATGGTGAATCCGCACTGCCTACCTTTGGGTTAGCACTGGCTGACAGGTGCTCCAGTTCCAAAATGCAAAAACCTTTCGCACGACCCTCGCCCTTCTCACCCGTCCAGCAACTTCACAAGTGCTACTACCTGTTTTGCAAAAGTCTCCTAGGGTCCAGAGCTGCTTTTATCGAAGGGCTTTCTCTCTCGTGGGAGAAAAGGGGCATGGTTCTCCCATAAAACACAAACGACCCCCCCCCGGGGTGTGGCACACGCACGAGCACACACATCGCTCCTCCAACTTAGCCGGACCTTCGGGTCCGAGGACATCTCCCTGCCGCCCCTGTCACCGCCGTCCACCCCGCCCTCGAGCCTAGGGCGGCAGAGGCTGTCCGCAAGGCAACCCGCCCATGCACCCTCTGCCAGGCCGCACTCACCCCTCCACACCCCCGTAGAGTGAAGCCATGCCGGTGCCGACACTGCCTCTCGTCCGGCGATCCGAATTCCCTCCGGTTCCCACCTTCACCCTTCCCGCCCT